GTTTAGAGTTTAGGGTTTAGGGGTCGAAGAAGTTCCGAATACCCTGAGCGATGCCGGCCTTTGACCCAAAGTGGAAAGACCAGCAGTACTTGAAACCCTCCACCTCCTGACACTTGAAAATCAACTTACAGGTAGTTAGAAATCAAGGAATGTATCCCTATAGTAGTCCTCATGCAATCCCTATTGTCATGGTCCCTATACGCCATTCCTTCACTACTTACCACCAGCAAGCTAAACAAGCTTGATCACCGCCCGGGCAGTGATTCGACGCCAGCGTGTCGCCACTTTCATCGCACCTAGTCCAAGATGTTGACCAATCATATGGAGGCTTGTCAAACTTGTGGTCCATTGTTCTCTACAAGTAGTATAGCAAGGCCCCTGATTTTTAAGTGTACCCAGACAGCGACCACCGTTCTGACATCGTGTAAATGGTTTTAAGGTGCCATCACACTTGGAAAGCACTTTTTTGCAGGCAGCTCTGCCTGGAACCCAGACTTTCAAAGCAAAAGCTGCTGCATCCTGCACTATTTGAAGGGGGTTCAACATTTATCCTGCCGATCCCAATTCAGACCTCTACACTTTTCTCTGCAGGTGTTTGTCGTTCTGAGTGCCCTGCGCGCAGCCTTCCTTCTTCGTGCACGCCTGGACGCGCCGGAGCTCGCAAGTATCGCTCCCAGCGTGGTACCTTGCTGGCAGTCCAACAACCCGAAATTAGAATCAAATGGAAAGGAGCATGGGAAGTTGAATGGATACTGAGGTCATATTCTATGGGATCATGCATGCGCCACGCCCCAACCAGGAGACGGGATGTGCAGCTGCACAGGCCCATGTACCAGGTTCAATTCATGCACAACGCTCGATCAACACAAGCTGATGCAATGGAGCTCTGGTTCACAGTTCTGCAGAACGCAGATAGGTCCTCTAGGCTTCATGGAAACCCTATGTAAGCCCTGGTTATCTGGGAATGAAGCTACAAAGCAAAACTGTAATTCCTTTGTTACAGAGGGGATGGATCCTGTCCATACGGCACACCTGCAAAGTGAGCAGCCTGCTGTTTCCCGTGGTTTCTAGGTCCTTCAGCTGACAGTAACCCATCTTTTTAGGCAACATCCAACCCTAAATCCCATGACCCCCTGAGCATCGCACTGAATCGACTTGCAGCTTTGGGTTCGGGTGCAAAGTGCCCGGCAGGCTGCCATGCTAATCACGCCTGCATTTTCTGGGTTGCTGTTAAGGAAGTTTAAGATAAGTTACTATATTGGGGAAACCCTATTATTTACTATATATACCCATTATGGTAACCCTAAACCCTAAACCCTATATACCCATTATGGTAACTGAATTCAAGTTCTTTAACAGCAACCCAGTTTTTTCTGTTGCTTGGGGGTTTGAGGGTTTAGGGCTCTGGGCCTCCTGGGTTGAAGCTGAGGGATGGGATTATGATAATGGAAAAGAAAATGGAAACTACTATATGGGTGGTTGTCAAAATTATGGTCCCTTTTTGGGTACCCTATATATTAGGTGCCGTATTATAATAGGGATCCAAAAAGGGACCATAATTTTGACAACCACCCATATATAGGAGAGCATCCGCGCACTCATGGTGGAGCCCAATCGCTTTCTCAGGTTCTCGG